TAAATTTGTCACAATTTGATTGGGTAATGTTGAGTGATCGACGATTGTCATATGACCAATCAAAATGAATTTCTGTCTTGCTTAAAAATTATTAGTATATTTTATAAAATAAATAGATTTTTAAGTTTCTATTTATTTTTATAAATGAGTGTCGCTAAAAGAAAACCTAACAATTTAAATATAACTTATATTTAAATTTTTAGGTTTTCTTTTAGCAACACAAATTATATTTGAATATATAAGAGTAAAAACCTAGTAACTAATTATATTAAATTATTAAATTTGTTTTTAGGTTTTTACTCTCATACACTTATTTAATCTTTTTAATAAATATTAGCTAATTAATTAATTTGTATATAAAATATGTAGTTGATAATATTTATTTTATATCTAAAAATTAATTAATTAGCCAACACAATAAATAGACTAAATATAGTTTACAAAAATAGTATAAATCTTTAAAATAAATATATTAATTTTAATTTTAAATAATAAAAAGATATATATACTATATTATTTCGAAATAATACCTTGGTGCATAAATTAAAATTTAGCATGAATTAAGCTTAAATTAGCCTAAACTAAACTTAATTTAGACCAAATTTTAATCTATATCCAGGCATTATTTTAAGATAATACAGTATAATTAAAGATATATTTAATAATTAAATATATTAATTATATAAAAGTTTGCCTACCTGCATTAATATTTTATGTTCCTGTTCAAGTATTTTTGTAATTCTTTATAAATATTTATTGTCATTTTATGTGAAATGCAAGTTTTAGTACTTTAGCTTCAATTGCCCAACAAGTACATAATTTAGATATAGATAAAGTATTTGCTTTAATATGATGAGGCTTTAAAAATCATTTAAGTATGAAAGGCATTAATATTGTAAGCCTCAACACATTAGAAAATATAAAACTTTGCCGATGTTGTAGTGGATTAGGCATTCGACTCCAATTAGCAGGTTTTTCTATATTTTTTCAATATTTTAAAAAAGCATTTTTACTACTTGAATTAAATATATTAAATGTTGCTTCTAAAAGAAGACGTGCTTTTCCTGCTATTGAATGATATGCATCATGTGGTGTTTGTATATGCTGGTTCCATTTAAGTATTTTTAAAGATCCTAGCTTAATTAATCCATATTTAACTTCTAGCTGCTCTCTATTTTTTTTAAAAATTTTGATTTTCAATCTCTATAAGCTGCTCTTCTGTTTGCTGAGAAAAACGTGCATTTCGTATATAATCATAATTAAAATTGGTGTACTGATTATTTGGCACATGACATACTCGACAGCCATGGTTAGCATTATGTCGTTTTATATCTGCTAAATCATTTCCTTGTGGTAAATCAGCAGTAATACTCCCAATACTACCAACAACCCAAGTATCACCAAGCAAAGTTTTAATAATCAACCCATTTTCTAATTGCTTAATATCATGAAGAACAGGTTTAATAAAATCATTAAAACTTGCACCAAAAGGAACTAAGCTAATTAAAAAATGATTTTTTAATTGCTTTCTAAGAGCTAATAGCATATTACTAAACTGTAAATAGACACCACCTAATGAATAATATATATTTCTATAAGTACCAAAATCATCAACATAGATATCTAAAAAAATTTTTAAAGTTGGTAAATGTGGTGGTAATGGTGTAAGTATAATATATTCACTAGGTAATCTATATCTTAATTTTATATTACGGTACTTCTATTTTTTATCAAAATAGTATATAATTTCCTGAATATAAAATTCATATTCTGAAGGCTTTGATATATCGCATAGCCAAATATTATTATGTTGTTTTACATTGCCTAGATTAATTAACTTTGTTTCTCTATCTACTAACCATAATTCTTTTCCATTTCTACGAGTATGATGAGTATCATTAGAGCGAATATTGGGAAGATCTTTATGTGAAAGAATTTGATTAACTTTCAGCTTAAGTAAATTATTATCCATTTCATCAATTACTATACTACATACTCGGCACATAAGAGTTGATTTTTGTTCATTATATATTAAACAATCACCAGCTCTATAAAATTCTAATAAAATATAATTAATTATTTATCTTTAATTTAAATTTTTTTTTTTATTTTTATATTAATTTTATTGATTCTATAAAACTAACCTTTATTGTTTTTTATTTTATATTCGCCAAATAATAGTGAATTTTGCCATAATTCACCATGCCAAAATTCTTGCTTTTCATCAGTAACAACTCCGGGACCAAAATACATTTTTGGCATAAGTATAGAATTGTTTAAAATACGTTTCAAATGTGCTAGTGGTAAAATAGTAAAGGCCTTTTTTATAAATTCACATGTAGATGGTGTTTTGTTTATGCAGAAAGGTACATCTTGATTATATATTTTAATCAAAGGTAATCTATTTCTCCACTTTCAAATTTGGCGAATATTTGCAGTAACATCTTCTTTTCGAAACTCAGGTTGTTTTATAATTTTAACAAGATCTTCATATTCAGAGATTGCTATATAAAATTAGTACTATTATCCATTTATTATAAATTAAATATATATATATTTGATTAAATTAATAATATTTACAAGTCATATATTTAGTAATTAAAATAAATATCATTGCTGATGTAAAATTTGGAAAATATGGACCATATTTGTTATTAAAACCCTCAAAGTCAGAAGACATTTCTTCTAATATATCTGTTGCTATTGCTTCTTCAGAAGACTGATCTTCTAATATATTAGTTGCCATAGTATCTTCTAAAATATCAGATTTATCGTTACTATTTATTAAAATATCTGTAGTATCATCAAATTCATCATAACTAATCGAATTTTCTTCTATAGTATTAGTTAATGAACTATACTGAAATTGATAATTATCGATATTTTCATAATCAAAACTTTCTCTAGGCTTTAACTAATAAATTAGTTTATTTAAAATAATAGATTCTTTAAAATATTCTTTAGAGTATTTTACAAATAATACTAACCTCACTTGATAAGATATAATTACTAGTTGAAGAACTTCCAGTCTCTTCAATTAGATTTTCTTCAAGAAACATATCAATATCTTCTATATTACTATATGTTGATATATTATTATTATCTATAGAAGTTTCCGTAGTCTTTTCATATTTGTTTTGTTTGGATTTAATCCGTAATTTTGGTGTTGGCATATATATACGAGAAGTTCTGTTTGAACGTTTCATTATAATAGTTATAAATAAAAATTTTTTTGTCTTTTACTTGTAGATTAATATTAATTTATGGATATTCGTAAAGAAACCCTTGGTTATTTGATTGATCTTTCTTTTATTTTTATTTATTTAATTATATATATATATATTAGTAACTATTACAAACTATACATTACTGCATCATATACATTCTAACTACAAAATAAATCATATGAGTGTCGCTAAAAGAAATCTCATATATAATTATATTTGAATTTTGATTATAAATTGGATTTACAATTATAATAATTATATCAGAAAATGATTATAAATTAGATTTACAATTATCATGTAATTAACTGTGTAATATATATTCTGACTATAAAAAAAATCATGCATAATTATATTTGAATTTTATTGTGAATTGGGTTTATGATTATGATAATTATATGAGTACGTGAGAGTAAAAACCTGTAACTAATCATAGTAAATCATTAAATCTATATTCAGTATTTTACTCTTACGCACTCATATCAGAAATAATAATTGTGAACTTGGTTCACAATTATCATATAGTTATATTAGAAATAATAATTATAAACTAGGTTTACGATCATTTTATATTTATAATAATTGTATTAGAATGAATAATTATAAACTAGATTTATGATTAGTATATATTTACAATTTAAAGCAATATTATAAATATATATTTATTAATTAACTTCCTTTTTAATTATATAGGTTAAATAAATATATATTTAAACCTTATATTAAATAAATATTTTAAAACTCAAACTATATAATTGCATCATATAAAT